GAACATCCTGTCCCGGCTCATCATGAAACAGGTCTGGGGCCCAAAATCCCAAAAAAAATACTCCAAAATCCACTGAAATTACCCCAAATTTCCTGAAAATGTCACCCCAAAACTGGCCCCGAAATCCCCGATGCGCACGGTGATCCAGCCCTGACCTTGTACCCCCGTCATGAGCATGCTGTCCAGGCTCATCATGGAACAGGTCTGGGGCCACAAAATCCCCTGAAATTACCCCAAAAATCCCCCTGGAATTACCCCAGAATTCCTGTTCCCGGCTCATCATGAAACAGGTCTGGGGCCACAAAATCCACTGAAATTACCCCAAAAATCCCCCTGAAATTACCCCAAAATTCCTGCAAAAATCTCCATGAAATTACCCCAAAATTCACCCCAAAATTCACCCCAAGTCTGGCCCCGAAATCCCCGATGCGCACGGTGATCCAGGCGCTGACCTTGTACCCCCGTCATGAACATCCTGTCCCGGCTCATCATGGAACAGGTCTGGGGCCCAAAATCCCCTGAAATTACCCCAAAATTCACCCCAAAATTCACCCCAAAACTGGACGCAAAATTCCAAATGCGCTTCGTGATCCAGGTTCTGTCATGGACATCCTGTCCAGGCTCATCATGGAACAGGTCTGGGGCCCCAAAATCCCCCAGAATTACCCCAAAATTCCTGCAAAAACCACTCTCAGGTGTGTCAGTACCCCAAGGTGTAGGAAGGGTCCATCCCCGCTGACCCCAGGTGTCTCAGGTGAGGCCCAGGTGTGATCCAGGTGAGTCTCAGATCACCCCCAGGTGATACAGGTGTGTCCCAGGTGACACCCAGGTGATCCAGGTGAGTCTCAGGTCACCCCCAGGTGATCCAGGTGACCCCCAGGTGATCCAGGTGTGTCCCAGGTGACCCCAGGTGTGTCTCAGGTGACCCCCAGGTGATCCAGGTGTGTCCCAGGTGTGTCCCAGATGACCCCAGGTGAGTCTCAGGTGACCCGCAGGGGATCCAGGTGTGTCCCAGGTGACCCAGGTGACCCCCAGGTGATCCAGGTGTGTTCCAGGTGTGTCCCAGGTGACCCCAGGTGTGTCCCAGGTGACCCCCAGGTGATCCAGGTGTGTCCCAGGTGTGTCCTAGATGACCCCAGGTGTCTCTCAGGTGATCCAGGTGTGTCCCAGATGACCCCAGGTGAGTCTCAGGTGACCCGCAGGTGATCCCGAGCCCCTGCTGAGCCACGTGCGCGCCCTCACCCCCCACCAGGTGACACTGGGGACAGGTGACATCACCTGGGGACAGGTGACAGCCCCTGGGGACACGGGACAGCTCCCGGGGATGGGGGACAGGTGACATCCCCCGGGGACGGGGGTGACAAGTATCCAGAGCTGCGCGAGCCCCTGCTGAGCCACGTGCGCGCCCTCACCCCCCACCAGGTGACATGGGGACAGGTGACACCACCTGGGGACAGGTGACGTCACCTGGGGACAGGTGACACCACCTGGGGACAGGGGACAGCCCCTGGGGACAGAGGACAGCCCCCGGGGAAGGGGGACAGCCCTGGGGACAGGTGACATCCCCCAGGGGACAGAGGACATGCCCAGGGGACAGGTGGCCCCCCTGGGGACAGGTGCCACCCCCGGGGATGTCACACCCCCTGAAGGCAGGTGGCACCCCTGGGTACAGGTGCCACCCCTGGGGATGTCACACCCCCTGGGGACAGGTACCACCCCTGGGGATGTCACACCCCCTGGGGACAGGTGCCACCCCTGGGGATAGGTGGCACCCCTGGGGACAGGTGCCACCCCCAGGGATGTCACAACCCCTGGGGACAGGTGGCACCCCTGGGGACAGGTGGCACCTCCAGGGATGTCACCCCCCCTGGGGACAGGTGGCACCCCTGGGGACAGGTGCCACCCCCAGGGATGTCACACCCCCTGAGGACAGGTGGCACCCCTGGGGACAGGTGCCACCCCCGGGGATGTCACACCCCCTGGGGACAGGTGCCACCCCTGGGGACAGGTGGCACCCCTGGGGACAGGTGCCACCCCCGGGGATGTCACACCCCCTGAGGACAGGTGGCACCCCTGGGGACAGGTGGCACCTCCAGGGATGTCACACCCCCTGGGGACAGGTGCCACCCCCGGGGATGTCACACCCCCTGGGGACAGGTGCCACCCCCGGGGATGTCACACCCCCTGGGGACAGGTGCCACCCCTGGGGATAGGTGGCACCCCTGGGGACAGGTGCCACCCCCGGGGATGTCAAACCCCTTGGGGACAGGTGCCACCCCTGGGGACAGGTGCCACCCCCGGGGATGTCACACCCCCTGGGGACAGGTGGCACCCCCGGGGACAGGTGGCACCCCCGGGGATGTCACACCCCGCCGTTTGTGTCCCCCCTCGGTGACAGCAAGCGCACATCCCCCTGTCCACCATGGCCATCCTGGAGGCCACCACGCGCCACGAGCCCGAGGGGACACCTGGAGAGGTGGGGACAGGGACAGGGGGACAGGGGACACCTGGGACCCCAGACCCTTTTGGGGACACCTGGAGGGGTGGGCAGGGTGACCCCAGACCCTTTTGGGGACACCTGGAGGGGTGGGGACAGGGACGGGGTGACCCCAGACCCTTTTGGGGACACCTGGAGGGGTGGGCAGGGTGACCCCAGACCCTTTTGGGGACACCTGCCCAGGTGGGCACAGGGACAAGGTGACACTTTGGGGGGGTCCCTGTCCCCAGGAGAAGCCCCCCAAGCGCCCGAGCGAGGACGACCCCAAGGCCAAGGGGGGTCCCCCAGCCCCGGGGGGGGGTCCCAGCTCGGGGTCCCCTCCCCCCGAAGCCCCCCCGGAGCTGGGGGGGGCGGAGCTGGAGCCCCCCTCGATCTTCATCAGCGTGGCCGAGGATGAGGAGAGCTCGGGGGGGGGAGGGGACGCCTCGCCCCCCGACGCCGCCCTGGAGACCCCCAAGGTCAGCCCCTCCCCCACCCCGCCCCGTGCCCCTTTTTGGGGAGGGGGAGGGGCATTGTGAACCCCCATTTTGGGGAGGGGGAGGGGCGTTGTGAACCCCCATTTTGGGGGGGAGAG